TGACATTATCAAAACACATAGACACTCATCTCTACAGGAGATTTTAATGTACAGGGGGTTGCTTTTTTCCTCTCTTCCATCAAGCTGTCCAATTGCATTTTGATTGTTTTAAGGGGTTGTTTTTTAGACCTAAGGCATAAAGTCTCCTCTGCTTTATTCCAGTTTATTTGTGCGTTTACCTCCCTAAAACTTGTTTGGTTTACTACCATACTAAATGCTGTATGTGTTGCTTTCAGCCAGGCAAGTCTTATGTTTCAATTATGGAGGAGTTTATTCAGCACCTGTATTGCGTTGTGCTTCTTTTCAACTAAATTTCCATTTCCCAAAGGCTATACACATGAATGTGTATACATCTCTTTTTCTGTATGTATACACACACAAATATATACATTTCTACATATATACAAATACATCATCTTAACTGAATACTCATTTTCACTGCACCTTTGAATTTCTGACATACCCAAAACCTTCATAAACATCTCAGACTTAATAAGGTTTTAATTTTTCTATCATCTATCTTTGTAATCAAACAGAACAGAATATAATGAATGGAAGACTTGTTTCCCTACCCCAGAGGTGTCTTAAATTTCAAAATTATTTATACTTTTGAGAAGGCAAAGCAGTGAAAGAACTAAACTATTCTCTTCATACTGTATTTTTCTAGCTGCCTTGAATGCTTGCGGAGTGAGTTTTGGGTCAGGTAGGAAAAACATCCTAACCATAGGACTGCAGTAGTGGATTTCAAGAAGGGTTTGGGGGGGTTGTGCTTTTTCCACCCCTAGAAAAGGGTTGAAACAATGCTGTTGCTCTCAAGTCTGCGCAAGACTCATGCTTTCCCACTGCTCACTATCTCCACTCTTTAAGTGCGCTCTCCCGTGTGTGTTTGAGTAAATCTCAGTTAAGTGTGGGATACTGATCTCTTCTGACTTCCTAAATAGAATATTATGGAGACCTGTGTGTTTTAAATTAAAACACTTTCCAGGCCTTGGGTACAAGCAAGCTTCAATAGAAAAGACTGTTTAAACCTATGGGGACAGTCCTATATTTAGATTACATTAATTCATAAATATTATACTAAATACCACTTAAATTGGCCTTAAATGATTTCAAAGATAATGCATTATAATATGGCTGTCCTGAGAGCACTAACCTTTATGTCTCCCAGTAACTCAGCCTTTAAGCATACTCCACTGCTAGATAAGATGGGGGAAGTTATGAATGAATGTCTTGCTAAATTGTTAAAGTGTGATTAGCTAACTCCGTGCATGTGTGTGCGTATATGTGTGTGTGTGGGTGGGTCAGCTCAGCCCCAGCAGATTTCTGCCCGTGGATCTCAGCACACAGCCTCTTCCCAACACTAGAGCAAAGTACCACAGCAGGAGCCTGTTCCTGCCCCGTGTGGAGAGAAATGAGGATGGGGGAAATATGCAGCAGCTACGCTCGTGCCATGAAAGCTTATTTTCTCGGGGATCTGGCAAGCCTTTCCCGCCTTTCCCCACATGCTGCTTCCCCCGTACCCTTTCTCTCTTTGCGTATCTGCAAGAGAATCATAATCCCCTGCCTCTTCCCTGGTATCTGTACTGGTATCAGCCAGAGCTGCTGGTGAAAGAACCTGGAACTTCACTCTCCTTTTGTGATAGTTTTTCTTGGAGGGGGGCAGAGTCACGTACTTTGTCTTCAGGTTCTTAATTTTCAATTTCCTCCTTCTATACAGGGGCACCGCAATAGGATCTCTTCATAATATTTTCAAGAATACACATCCTTTGCTCTCGTTTCAATGGATTTACACCTGAAATTACTCTGGTTGCTGGGTTTTTACTTTAAGCTAATTTCTGTCTCTTCCCTCCTCCCAGCACAAACCTACTTTCTCCCCCTCCACACCCAAGGTTTGCTCTCCTTACACTTAAATAAACTACAGCCTACTATTAACCCTTCAGAGTATGCCACTGCTACAGCTTCATCCCCTGAATTAGGAATGAAATAAACTGAGAGTGATGGATCAATTAATGTATAAGCATTATGCATCTCTTATGGAAAGCATCTTGGGGTTTTGTATTGCCAACCTACCCCTGTGAGCCAAGTTGGACTATCTTTATGCAATTCTTCACCTATGCCTGCAAAGCAAAGCCAAAATAAGGAGATCTGAGTGAATACAATGCTTCACATGACTGCATTCACAGAAGGGAAAAGAGAAAAAAATAGACTAAAAATGAAATAAAATGAAATAAAATAATAGAAAAAAAAACCCAAACACAATCCTCATCCTTCAAAGCCCCATCACGCTTTTTGACTTAATAGTAATTAATCACTACCGGTAAGAAAGTAATTTTTTTCCAGGTAGCCAGAGGCACATTTTTATCAGGATTAGCTAATAAATCAGCAACATCGCTAGAAAGGAGTTCAAACTCTTCTCGGATGTACTAAATAAAACCGATCTCTGAAATGCTGGCAACTCGGTGTCTGTTGAAGCTTTGCTCAAACCCTAGCCTGCAAAATAACAATCATCATCATCATTTTTCTTTCCAAAGTCCAAAACTTCTAGGAGGTTAAAAATGACTGTTTGTTTTGAGATGAACTCATGCAATCTGGTTTGATGAAGTGACAAGATTCCCCACCTGGCTTTTTTTCTAGGTTGCAGCTTTAGAACAGAAATGAAATGAGGGAAATGAAGTTAGTATCTTGCTTAATTCAGGGATATGTGTTAAACACATCCAAGCAAGATAAATGATCCCTCTCTCTACTCTCTCTCTCTCTCTCTCCCTCTCTCTCTCCCTTCTTGAGTTTGTCTCTGTGAATACAGACATACAGTAAAAGCAGAACTGAACTGAAAGAAGGAGAATTCACATCTATGACACAGAAATTAAAGTTAGCGCATAGATTGATTAATTTCAGCTTTAAGATAAAACATAACAAAAGAATAAAATCTCATCAACAAATCAGAATAACCTCCCACCAGCACTAAAAAAAAAAAATACTTTATCTAGATGTTAGCTCAAAGATTTCCTCTACAGTATGTTGAGTGTTTCTCCTCAGTGTAGCTTTTACTGCTGTTATTTTTATTTTACAGAAGCTTTAGATGATTTTTTGAAAACACATGTACACACACACGAGCTCAGTGTCTACTATCACTATCAGACAAAATCTCCCAGGACCTTTCCTTCCCTGCACTTCTTACTATTATTTTTACTTTTATTATGAATAATTATTATAGTATGGGTGTCATGTTTAAATGATGCCAATCAGACCTTGATGTGGTTTCTAGGAAGCTAGTCTGGAAAGAAAGCAAGGTTCGAAAGAGCTACACTGATCATTTTAAATATGAGAGTGGTGTTTGGAGCGACCGGCAAGAAAGGATGGAAGAAATATCCTATAACTTAGATTGAGTACCTGGTCCCTGAGCCCTGAACATTTTCTCTAGCCTGTGTAAAACTGATACTTTGCACTGTCAGGGTATATTTTCACTCACATTTCCTGAGACTGGAAGCGAGGAGGGGAGTGAGTGGGAAGGGGGAAGAGATGCCTGCTAAACATGCCGTTAAGTTCAAGATTTACAACTCGCCAAGGCATCTGGAAAGCTGGGAAGCCAGTAATGCCATTACCCGTGACTGTCACTGCCAGGAGTCTACCAGGCTGGACTAGATACTGGTACTGAAGCTGTCCTGTTAAAGATGCAACTTCCACTCTCCTCGTAGCCCCGTGCGAAACGCTTTCTCCTCCTGCACTATATCTGGAGTCACACCCCAATCACTTCTGATGCAATTTTTTTCTTTTCCCTTTTCTTTTTTTAAAATAAATATCTATATCATAAATAAACACACACACACACACACATATACAGAATATAAGTTAATAAGGTGGGTCATATCACTCCCTGGTCTCTCCTGCTTCTAAGCGGGGCTACCATGCAAATTACCTTCAACTTCCTCCCTGAGAGTCCTACTTTCCTACCCGAGGATCCAAGCATCTCTCCCCCATCACACACACCCTCCCCCACCCCCCAAAACGTAGCACCATCTAATCTGAAATGCACCTCCGGAGAGCCTAAGCTAAGCAAGGAAATGAGCGGGCAGGGATGGAGCGAGTGAGGCATGGCTTGGGGGGTACATCTCCGCTGCCTTTAAAGAAAACCTAAAAAGTTCCCGGGATGGACTTTGGGCGCATTAAAGTAGTGCTTGGAATATGCCTGCTCAGGGACTTCTCCCCTCTGGAACTAAACTGCCACCTGTCCCTACTGGCTTGCCTTCTCAAACACACACACACATCTCGGGATTTTGTGCACACACCCCTGCCCCGCTTGAGATGGGTTTCTTTATTGTTGTTTATATCCCTGTTTCCATGCTGAATAGAGCCAAAATGAAATAACCCCCCGGAGCAACTCACTCTCCTCCACCTCTTGCTTTTTAGAGGACTACAAATAATAATTGTAACAGTAGCAAAAATAAGTATTATCAAAGAAAAAAAAAAAAAGAAAAAAAAAAAAGAAAAAAAGAAAAGAAAGAAAAAGGAAAGGCGCTGGTGCCGGATGCAGAACAGTTGTAAAATAGAGGTTCCCAGCAAACCCAGGGACAGACAGACGGACACACACACCCCTGGGCTGATGATGAGCGGCTCCCGAAGGTAAATACTGAGCACCCGCTCCCGCTTCAGCACCGCGGACAGCTGCCGTCGGCCCCGCGCCCGCGCCGCCGCTCGCCCGGCGCTCCCCGGGAGCAGCCTCTCACCCCTCAAAAAAGCGGGGAAAGAAATAAAAATACTAATAAATAAGCCAAAGGAAACTGACTCCCTGCCCTGCCTCTCGCTCTTCTCTTCCCAGGATGGGTCTATTATTTCTTTCCCTGCCCCCCCAGCCTGCCGCCTCCGCCCCCGGGCCAACCAAAAATGAAATAAAATGAAATGAAATTGAAAGGAAAGAAAGAGAGAAAGAGAGAGTCAGGGAGGGAGAGGGAGCCTGCCTTCCTCTCCTGATCTCTCTCGGGAAAGTTCAGGAGGTAACTCACCTTTGTGCATGCCAGTGAACCTGTCCTTCAGCACCGTCAGTTCATAGATCTTCCCGAACTCCTCGAAGAGCGGTTTGAGGTCTTTCTCGTCCAGGTTACGGGGGATCTGCCCAATAAAGAGCTTAATGGCATCGTGGTCCTTCATTGGGATGGTGGATGGGTTTCCGGGACTATGGTTTAATCCGTTCATATGCCCGTTGGTGCTGGGGTTGCTGTGATTGCTACTCAGGCTGGTATTGTCTGGTTGTCCGTTTGCTAACGTGGCCATCTTTATATACATAGAGAAAATCTTCTTTCCTTTTTTTCCCCCTCTTCTTTTCTCTCTCCCTCCCTCTCTCTCTCCCTCTCTCTCCCTCTCTCTCGCTCTCTCGCTCCCTCTCCCTCTTTCACACACACACACACACACACTCACACACACACACACTCCTCCCTCTCTGTCTCTCTCTCTCTCTCTCTCTCTGGGTCTGATCTGATTTTTTTTTTACATTGAAGATCTGTGTCCTTTCCGTTTAAACAGGCTGGATCGGTTCAAATTCCCAGCCAGACTAGGGGGTGGGGTGTGAGTGTGTGGATGTGTGTGTGTACTGGGAAGGGAGGCTAGGGGTGGGGGATTGCTTTTGCCTCTACTCTGGCTAAACCCCCTCCTCCCATCCAACCACCCCCCTGTCTGTCTGCCCGACAAAAGCTTAATGGTATCTTCCAACACAGCCCCTGGCTATAAATAGCACTAGGCGCATGGCTCTTTGAGAGACAGTCAATTTCTATTGTGCCAAGTGAGCAAAGGGGAACGGTTGCGTTTTTAGGACCAATGATGATGATTTTTTTTTTCCTTTTCCTTTGCAAGCCCTCCGATCAATCGCTGTCCTTATAATTTCAGTGATCATCGGGTAATCTGCCTTTTTATTTGAGAGGGGAAAAAAAAACAAACCCAAGGTGTTCTGACTTCTTTCTATTATTATGTTGTCTCTTACTTATTATTTACTCTTGTTATAATTTCTCAAATGATAATAAAAGCAGTTCAGATAAGGATGAATCCCCGGGCTTAGAGGTTGTTTTTGCTGTTGTTGTTGTGATTGTGATGTTACAAGCTCTCTTTACTATATCTGTTCTTGTTGCATCTAAAAAAAATGCATGCTCTTTAAGCTTTTTTTTTCAATAGATTATGCCGCTGATGATGACATCAAGCTAGGAAAGCGCAAACTATATTATTGTAGCTCTTCGGAGGGAGACAAAAATATCGAGATGACTGTTGTTAATTTTCCTGCTGCTGATATTTATTTTACGTACAGTCAGTGCGGGCGTTATCTCCTATACGGGCTGTGTGTGATGTGCGTGTGTGTGTGCGTTTGTATATTGGAAAAGGATTGATTAGATAAGATTTTCTTGCCCGACTTTCAAGCCATCAGGATATTCTGTCTGTCTCTGATGGAAACATAAATCGCATTTTGTAGTCATCAGTGATCGGGAGTTGCTTGTCCGAACAATGCTCTCTAGACAAAGTGTACTGTATGGTGGAGACGAAATCAGCTCTTTCATAGCATCTGGAGGTGGGGAGGGCAGGGAGCCTCGGATTAAGGACACAACTCCCCCTTCTCCCCCAAATAATAATAACAGTAATCCGGACAGTAACAAAACAAAGCTCTGCGTGTGCTCAGAGCAATTTTTTCGTTCCTTTTCCCCCCCCCCCCCCCCCGGTTTTCCTTTTCTCCCGTTCCTCTGCCTTGCCGCGCAAGCTGTGCGGGGATGAAGCTCGCAAAAACACCAGCAGGCGAGCTCGGAGCAGCCTACGAGTTACCTGGCCTGAACCCCCGCTCCCCTCCCGGCCAGGCTGCATCCACCGGACCCCCGACTATCCCCCCGTATCCAGGGGGCTGCCCGCAACCCCCCGCAGCCCCTCGGCCCCTCGGGGCCACCCGGCCATTGTTCCCGGCGCCGCCGGCTGATCCCCGCGGCAGAGGCGGCGGCGGCCCCGGGGAGTTGGGAAGGGGGGCTTGGGGGGCGGGCTGGGAGCGGGATCCCCCTACCCCAGGCACCCGTCCCCCGGGAGCGCAGGTAGCACGTGTGACTGTAAACGGAAGGGCCAGCCGCGGAGGAAAGGAGGTTATTAGTTTAAAATTTCAAACCTTCCTGCTCCTTTTATTGATCGGAATTTATGTATATATATATATATATATATTTAATTTCTGTTTCAAAAACAAACAAACAAACAAAAAAAGGAGCAAGCTTTACCACTTTTTTCACTTTATTTGGCTTTTTTTTAATAACAGAGAGGCAAGGCAGTATCCTACCAATTCCCCCCCCCCCCCCCCCCCACGCCCCCATCCGCCTCCCTTTAAAAAAAAATAAAGAAAGAAAATAAATAAAGAAAATCACCCCAATGAAGGTGGCTCGGCTATTCCAACTACTCCTGTGCCTGAAAGTGCTCCCGTGCCCTGCCAGGAGAGGAGCGGGGGTGGATCGGGGGGGCGGCGGGGCTGTGCCCCTCCCCGGGGCTGCCGCCGCTCCCGGCGGGGGGAGCGCTGCGGGCGGGGGGCGGGACGGGCCCGGCCCCGCGGAGCCTCCCCGTCCCACCTCCCCGGGGTCCGCACCTGGGGGCGACACTCATGCGGAGCCCCCGGCACCCTGCGCCGCCTTTTACCGCTCTCTAAACATCTCCCGGCGCTGACGGGCAGCAGCGGCCGTCGGCCGCCGGGTGCCGGGCTGGTGGCAGGCACCGCGCATTGTCTGCCGCCTGGCCAGGCGTGCAGTGTGTTGGGGTCCAAGCGGCGCTGGAGGGAGGGGGCAGAGTTTGTCCGTCTTCCTTTCCTGGGCGCACACCCCACCTGCAACCTTTAAAGGCTACAGACGCGGAGATCTGACAGCCCAGGAGCTGCTGGGAGGGTAAAACCCTTCTCAAGACAGCCCCACTCCCGAATTCCCAGCCCTGTGACTCACTTGTTTTCAAATCCTGCCTTGTGCCTTGGACTGTGATAGAAGAATGACAACAACAACAAAACCCACATGAAACAAAGTCTTTCAGTTGCCCCCCTACACACACCAACATCAACAATCCTAATATCCACTCTTTCTGATCCCTAAAACCACACCCATGATAGAGCTAGGAGGACTCAGTGAAAGAAAGACCTTTTTTTTTTAAAGAGGGAATATCCACTACAGCGAAAAGTGAAACAGCATCCGGCACTGATCCATCCCAGGGATAGCTCTGTTAACACCCTGTCCACGAGCAGGCCACTCTGCCTGCAATCATAGCTTATCCCAAACGAAAGCCAATTAAAAGAATAGCACGGTAGAAAAAGTAATTTTGCTGCTCAGTGCGGGTGTCCCTTTTATAACAATCTCTATTTTTTGAAACTTTGAGCTGGTCCACGCCCTGTTTTCACAGCGCTGTAAGTATAGTCATTTAGAAATGGATGCTGTTCAAGTACAGCCCCCTGGTGCACAGGCACAGCTGTGAGGGGTGGCAGGATGAAATAATACAGACACAAATATTGCTACAAGGGCTCGGAGATGAACACAGCTGCTGCTGTGGGTGGAAATAAGCTATACCCCATAAGCACCTTTACACATGTACAAGGGGCTGTAGTGGATTTTAAAAAGATAGAGGCAAAGGAGGAGTGAAATTGTTATCTATAAACCAGCCTTTGCTGAACAGTTCCCAAGTGAGAAATGTTCCCTGTGTAATCACAGTGGGTCCAGTTCAGCAATCCATAAGCAAAGAAGTCCACAGAAATTTTGTAAGAATAAGGTCTTTTGTATCAGGCTTCAGTTTCTCCCAGAGAATAAAAATTATTTATCTCTTTGGAACCAAAATAAAGCAAAGAAAGCACTTTTCTTTTTTTTTTTTTTTTTTTTTTTTTTTTTTGTTTAATGTACCTACTTGCAGGGAAAAAAACAGTCCCCTTCCAAAACCATTTGCAGCCCCATTTTCTCCTGCTTCTCACTCCGGTGAGTGTCTTTCAGGTTTTGGTTTGTTTATGTGTTTTTGTTTGGTTTGTTTTGTTCAGAACATAAACACTATTTATTTTGGGGGTAGATTGCCAGCAATTTTTACCCCTTCGGAAGAAATATTACCCCAAATCAGCACAGCTGGGAAAATGCACTGACATGGCCAGGCCAGGGGCAGAAGGATGCAGCAGGATCAGCCACAGGTATACACTCACCTCCTATGAAAAAGGGTTTGCAGACCAGGCTTTGGCTTTTAATGTGCCTTTCAAAGGGCTTGATTGATTGCTGTTAATCCTGTGAACAACTTCGGTGTTGTTAACAGGACTGCCCGCATTAAGTAAAGGTACTCGCATGCATTAGTATGCTCCTCGTCCCCATGACGTCAATACACAGCTTTCCAATGACTTCCAGGAGGGCTGGATCAGGCCCTTGCTAGCAGCAAGTTTTTAATGAACACCGTTTGGTGCAGGCAAGGGGGGCACAGTGATACATCAGTCCTGACTGTCTTCATTCTCCGGGAAACGAGCAAGTAAAGAAGAAAGGCAGGAATAGGCTGAAAGGTTGCTGGAGGGGGATTCTTCTGCTGAACTTCAAACTCCTGGACCCATAGCACACAAACCCATCGGTGGCTGTAACACGTAAAAAGAATTGCAGGCAAGTTTTGTTCCAAAAAGACAAAAAAAAAGTGTGAATTTTATTCTTAAATAGATAAACTAAATAGCAGGCAAGTTTTGCTTCAAGTAAATAAACAATATGTGTGATTTTTTTTTTTAAATAGCAGTCTATTCTTCTTCAGATCTAGCTAGCTATATCAGCTCATATATTTACAGATTTTCTGCTAGCTTATTTTATTAAGACTTTTCTTGAAGTGACATGAGACTGTTAATAGCAAAGACACACATTCTAATCACAATTCAGATATAGCTTTCAGGTTCTATGAAAGGGCCCGATCCTGCCAAGTCTTGTAACTCAGCTGGAATTGTTTACTTCAGCCTGTTAGGCTTTGCAGGGAGTGCTGACAGGATCAGGACACATTAGCTACGTAATCAAATGAAATAATTGAGAGCTGCATGTGGGCCCCTAATACATCAAACAAAAGGAGAGGGACTATCACCCACTAAACTTCGGGTGAGAACCCAGGCATCAGGGGATGGGCCCGATCCTGAAAACCTTAATCTACATTGCTGTTAATCAGTCTGTTGTGGTCAGAAGGATTATTCATCTGAGGAAGGATTACCCATGTGAACATTTGCAAGATTGGTTCCTGAATTAATGCCTGAATCAGTGTGGTTGGTTTTTTCTTTGTTTGTTTGTTTTAGTTTTTGTTGTTGTCGTTTGCTTTTTTTTTTCCTCCTCTGCCTTAGTTAGAATCAAGAAGGTTGATTGAGGAGAGAAATGAAAAATTATTTGTATCCAAAGGAGTTTAGCACAGGATTGTAGGATATAGGCAACAAAAGGTATCAGTGTTTTAAAAAAAGAGTTTGTTTATGGAGTCATTTTGTTATTAAATAGCACTGGTGTGTTTGAGGTGGCAAAGTGAAGACTGCATAGAAACCCAGGGTTAAAACAGGACAGAAAAATAGAAGAGAGTGTGTATTCATGTGTTCTGATG